ACCTCACAGGGTTGTTGTTGTGAGGAAAATAGGAGGAGGAAGGAGTATTAGGTATGTTCACTGTCTTGAGTTATTTATAAAAAATAAAAAAATAAAAAAAAATAAAAAAAACATCCTGATTATACAAGCTGCAGAAAGGAGAACAGGCCACCTCATAATGTGGTGAATTCTCCTTTACTGGAGATCTTCAAACAGAGGCTGATCAAAGATTCTCTAGTGAATCTTTCACTGAGGAGAGGGTTGAATTAGATGACTCCTATGGTCAGTTCTAACTCTTCTGTGATTATCTAAATAATTTACTGATGGTTAGAATTAGGAATCAATTAGATGGCTCGGATTTCTCCACAGCAAGGGTTTTGATATCTTAAGGCAGTGTTGAGAAAGTTTCTCAGCCTTGGCCACTTGAAGATGTGTGGACTTCTACTCTCAGAATTCCCCAGCCAGCATGTTGGCTAGGGAATTCTGGGAGTGGAAGTCCATATATCTTTAAGCAGCCAAGGTTGAAAAACACTGTCTTAAGGATTCTAGGAACCCTTCCTCATGCAAGAGCCATACTGTAGTTACTATGAGATTCCCAAAGGTCTTTGCAAGCTGAATTGCAAACTTCAGCTCAACTGCTGCTCCAGAAGAAAATGTTAAAATACTGAGCAATCTTCTGTCTGTAGATGGGGACAATCAGGGATCCATGGGTGGGAGCTTCTCTTTTGTCCTAGCAGGTGGGATATCCTCTCTTCCTTCCAGAAGAAAGAGCTCCATGGTGCTCAGAGTAGTTTTGTTTTCCCCACCATGAAATAAAGGGGACAAAAGGGACAGGTGGAATAGAGCACTGGCCGAAGTGCCAATTGTTATGTTCAGCTGTTGACAGCTGGCATTATGTGACCAATCTTATATGGCTTCAGAAGCTAACCAGGTTGCGCCTGTTATTACTTGGATAGGAGACCACCAGGGAATACCAGAGTGGTAGGTTAGACTTAGAAGTCAGAAAAGCATTGTAGAAGAAAGTAATGGCAAAGCCACTTCCATTGTGTTACCAAGAAAACTAGAAGGACATGCCCATGAAGTCACCAAAGTTGAGATCAACTCAAAGAAAACTTTATTAGCCAGCTGGGGGAGAGAGTGGGACATGGGCTGACATGATAAGATAATCAACAACCAGAAAAAGAGGATGCTTGCAGAGCTGGGGAAGGGCAGGGGAGAACAGGGCTGTTGGTGGCTTTGTCATGATGTCCTATAGCTCCCTGTCAGCCTTTCCAGGTAGACCAGACAGGAAACATGACCAGAGGAGCTAATTCTACTTTATTGTAAGGCTACATTAACAGAGTCTTGCAAGTCTGATAGTACAAATCTCCCACCGTCTGTTTTACAGCTTGAGAAGTTAGAAAGGTTCCTTTCTGAGTTTCTTTCTCTGCTCATTATGCAGCTATGGGCTATGCCCTCACTTATCTGATTGTTCCAAGGCAGCATCTCTCCCCCCTCCCGTCTCTCAAGGCCATTCCCACATGCTATTACACTCCCTGTCCTGTTGGACCAATACCCCTCTGTGCTCTCCAGTTGCACACAGCACTCACGTTTACACCACTCTATGCCAAGGAAGACCTTAAATGTCTCAACACGGGCTGGAAAAAGAGAAGGTTTGGGCAGATTGTCATCAATATAGATGGAGATACTGGGAAACAGACTATAGACTAAATTTTTTATTTATTAACTGCTGTGGTCAGGTCTGCCCTAGGAGGTTGGCTGTTGTGTATTTGCCATGCATCCCTCTAAACTGTCTAGTTCACCCATCAAATTGTTCATCAAGAGTAAAGAAATTATTGGAACTTTCATAATCTGGCACAACAAACAAGATACTTGTGCCATGTTTCTGTTTGTCAAATGCTCCTGGAGGACATCATCTCAGATTTCAGAGCTTAGAAACAAGATAAATCTGTTCTGTTTCTCACTTGCTACTCTGATTCCAGAAGTTGCATCTTCTATATTTTTTCCTACCTAGCAGTTGTGAGATTGAGTTATTAACCATTCCAGAAGGTTGGGTGCATCAAATATGTTCTCCTTTTCTCTTTGTCCTCTCTTCTTTTCTTTATGTATCAGTGGTGTCATATTCAGCAACGTTTCTCAACTCCAGCCTCTCCCCTTCCTTTATTCCACAGATTTCAGGGAATAAAGACACTTCACTGTATTAAGGAAAAGCACTTCTAGTACTACCTAAATGATACTCATTTCAAAAGGCATAATTTATGCACTAGAACAGGGTTCCTCAACCTTGGCGACTTGAAGATGTGTGGACTTCAACTCCCAGAATTCCCCAGCCAGCATTCTAGAATTCTAGAAGTTGAAGTCCACACATCTTCAAGTTGCCAAGGTTGAGGAACCCTGCACTAGAACCCTCTTAATCAGTACAGATTATAACACCACAAGAAAGAACACTCTTTCTCTTGCTCCTCTTTATCAAAGACCCATGAAGGACACTGTTCTAGATTTCATATACTTTTTAAACAATTGTGGTGGGGGCAAGGATTATGAGATTATCATCTTCTTTTATTGCTCCCAGGCACTTCCATTCAATAGCCAATTCTTTTTTTTTTTTAAGTAAGTTTTTGGAGGGATCTTGCCACGTACCTTTTTAAAGAGGAATGAATTACCATTTCACAGCTTTAAAAAGTGTTAATTTATACCTCCACCTACAGACATTACACTCCTTTTGTTTAACCTAGTTTAAGTTGTATTTCGTCTTTCTCAGTCTGAATAATGTGAAGGATTTATGATATTTGGAGGTCTATGTGAACATGGAATACTGCCTTATTAGTTAGCCAAAATGAATTCATGTATTTTTGAAGACACCTTTGCATCATTCCTTAGTCAGCAGAAAAGTCATCAATTGTATCTCAGTCTTCATAGAGGCAAAGCCTCCAATGTATTGCTGACTTAAGCTTTAACCATGTTTTTTTTTTTCCTCCTTCCCTGACTCATGGGCTGCACTCACCAAGCATACTAGGTTAAGATAGGGTTATCTCAGCTTAGTATGTTGCTGTCGGTTGGAGTGGCAAATGGAGTGACCTCAAGATCCTGTAAGGCTTAACTCGATTCCCCCAGCCCCCAAAGGGTAACATTTTTGGATCCATCTATTCTAGAATTAGTCTGGAACTGTTCTGGGAACCACAAAAGAGGTTCAGATTGCCTACCTCCAATGGTAAAGTTGGGGATTTTAGAACAGAGTGGCAACTGCACCCTTTTTACTTCATGAACCCTAAACATGTACAGCTGGAATGCACAGGCTATAAAGAACCTAAAACTGGGATCATGATATGAACTTTTCCACAGTCTCTTTCCTATTCATTGTTCAATAATCATTTTAAGCTGGAGATGCCAGGGAAAATAACTAGGACCCACTGCATAAAAAGCGCTTTAAAAAAAAATTATTATGGGAAGGACCCTTGTGCTGTGGGTCCCTCCCATAAGTAATTCCATGCCTTGATTGTCCTACTGCCTTCTGCAGATGGGGACTGAATGGTGCTTCATATAAATAATTCCCCACACATAGAACCCAGCATGCACTAGTAGCAATTAAATGGGAACTTTGGATATTGCAAAGGACAGCACCAACTTTATTTCTGAGAAAGCTGCTGAGGCCCTACCTAGACTGGGAAGGCATTCTTTAAAAAGTTAAAAATGAATGCCTACAGCTGAATAGCTTGCTTGGAAGTGTGTCCATTTTCTTCTAAAAAAGATAGAGGGAAACTGGAATGAGAAAGAACATCCTTGGAGACTCGAGGAGTGGTAGGGAATGACTTCTCAAATTGTTTTTGGGGAAACGGGTATTTTATGATGGACCATGCCTCCTGTGACACTCATTTTGAGAACAGGAGAGCTGTCAGTACAGCCATTTTGTGAGATGATGCACAGCAGGTTTGCAGATGTACCTACCTGCCATCAAACGTTTTCTACTTGTTAGCCAGAAGCACTCTTCCTGACAGGCTAGTTTTCGGTTATGTGAGCTGAAGTGGCAGCAAAATTCTAGCTTATTCTTGGTTGTGGCAGATTCTTCAGCCATCTCTCTTCTTGAGACTTATATCTAGAACAGTGTTTCCCCACCTGGGCAACTTTGAGATATGTGGCCTTTAACTCCCAGATTCTTAGCAATGGCCACGCTGGCTGGAAATTCTGGGAGCTGAAGTCCACACATCTCAAAGTTGCCCAGGTGAGGAAACACTGTTCTAGAATCATCTGTAATTGCACCAGAACAACTTTGATGAGAACAGGCTTCATATTACTTCAAAGATGGCTGGGTGATGCTATGAAGATACCATAAATCACTAGTGGGAAAACAGATTTCCTGATGACCCCACTATTTGCCAGGTGCTGCCTACATGGGAAACTGAGTTGATGTTAGCAATCATTCCTAACCCAGATCTCTGTGTGTGTTTATCAGTTGGATGTTGTCCTACCACCGCTGTTGTTTCCTCTGTGCCATCTGATGAAATGTCCAGTTTGCATTATTGTTATTCCTACCGCTGTGGTTGTTACTTTTTATTTGCATGCACGGCCGTTGTTGTCGGTGTCATATTAATGCTAATGATGTTTGGGAAGCACTAATGAATAAGTGCAATTTCTTTTCTCTATTGTTGGGTTTTTTGTAAAGTTGCTCAAATGCTCTCAGGTATGGCTGCCCTGAACGGAGGACTCGGTACAACAGGCTTGACCAATGGTACAGCTGGCACAATGGATGCCCTCACCCAAGCCTACTCAGGAATACAGCAGTATGCCGCTGCGGCGCTGCCCACGCTATACAGTCAAAGTTTGCTACAACAACAAAGTGCTGCAGGCAGCCAGAAAGAAGGTAAGCCATTTGGACCATAGGAGGGAAATGCAAAAGGAAGCAAGGAAGAGATCCTTAATCCCAAGGGAAACTCAAAACAAGTGAAATTTAGCCTTCCTCTAAAATTAGCTGATTAGTACAAGTGCTACTGCAACCATCATTCTTAAACTTTACCACTAGAGTTTTCTTACCCCACAATACCCTACCAACACTCAGGGCTTATGCTGCACCCGTTGAAAATAACGGATACGTTTCCATTTTCAAAGAATAAATCAGAGCAACGTTGATGGTTTCATCCCTTGGCACACCTTTACTATAGTTTCGATGTGTTTGTCCTATCCTTCTAGCGAAAAAAGTGATGTTAATATGGAGGCATGGTTCTCAGAGGAGCCTACGGCCCCATGATTCATCTGGATGGACTGGAGTTACTATCTAGTTAGATTAGATGGTTAAGGAATATCTCAGTGCAGAAAAATGGAAACTTTGTGATTCCTAAAACCCTTTACAAAGTCACCAACTCATCGAAATTGACATTGAACCGGAACTAAGCTGTACCTAAGTAGTCTTGCCTGCATAGAAACCTTTGGCGTGAAGAATATATAGGAACCCTATAAATATTTAATTTCCCAGCACACAAAATTCCTTTTAGGCATTTGCTCAAAGAATTTTACCACCCACTGCTTTTCTAATGCAAAAATAGACATTGTCTGCTGCTTTTGCAAAAACATGCTGGTGGTTCAAACCATCCTTGAAATCTTTTTCCAATTCTGGTGGAGAAGGAGCTCCCCTGTCTGGATTTGCATGTACACTACAAACATGTAGCTTTTGTAACTAAACAGTGTTTGGAGGTTAATGGCCAAATCCATCGTTGTTACATTGAAGGGTTCCTTATTTAATTGAGAGTCTTGAGGGGAAGCAAATAAATGATTGATTGCTTCATATTCAGTGCCAATAGAGCAAAATAAACCCAGGAAGTTAACACTGAGAATAAATTAATACTAATTGCAAGATGTTTAATGAAAAAAAAAAGGCTTCTCTCCTATCCATTCATTCCTTAGGTCTCTCCCTGTCCTTCAAGGCATTTTGTTACTTTAAGGAAGTGGTTGTCTTCAATCTAATTACTTGCTCATTTAGGACTGGAAAGAAACAATATCAAACAGGTTTAGAAGATTTGCATTGATGGTCAAGCAGTAATGGGCCATCAGAGTTATCAATAGTCCTTTAAGAAGGACACTCCAAATTAGATAAGCCATTTTCCTGGCCTTTGGCTGTAATAAAGGATGATGAGGATGGAGGAAAGCTGGATCCATTTTTTTTTTAATTTGAAGGTATCTATTCTATGATAGAACATGCCACTCACATAACACATAAGGCTTGGTAATATTAAAATAGGCATTTGATCCACTTTAAAAAGCCCCTTTTTCATGTATAAAGTAAACTCACCCTGCCAGTTCTGACAATCCCTTTCTCCTCCTTGTAGACAGACTACCTGAGCAGGTAATAAATACCTGAGCTCCTTCTTGGCCCTCCCCCATTGTCAAGACGGCCCAGCTGTCAATCCAACAGCAGTGGCCAATCAAACAGCAGCATTCAGCAGGCGGCGGCGGGGGGGGGGGAGACAAGATGGCTACCTGGCAGCTCATGAAGAAGAGGCTGAATAAACAGAACCAAAGCACAGAAGTCAAAGTAAAGAGAAAAACTAAAGAATAGACAGCCCTGATGAGAAGAGGCAATGGGAAAGGAGGCAGTGCCTGAGGAAACTGGGGAGACGGGCCTTTTTCCTTCCCTCAGAGCTGTGTGAGGGAAAGCTTTCCCTCAGGTGGAGCCATGACTGAGAAGAAGAGACGAAGAGTCCAGAAGCCCTGCCAAGAAAAGGCAAAGAAAGGGCCAAAACCTGAACAAAATAGGAAGCAGAAACTAAAAAATGATCAAACAGATTGAACTCTCCTCTGTCGAAAGAAGAGTTTAGCTCTACAGAGAGGGACCAGAGAGATAGACAGAGATTAAGACAACAGAAATAGAGAAGTCGGCCATACACAAATATATTGGAAATATAGAATGGAAAGATGTGAAAATATAGTCACGTCCTTGAAATGGGCAGCCATATAAATTGGATGGATGGATGGATGGATGGATGGATGGATGGATGGATGGATGGATGGATG